AACAGCCGGTTGATGGTTGGCTTCCGTACTTAAACGTTCAAATCAGACTGTCTGGCTGCGACACTCATGTAAAATGGTATCGTAAAAGTAGCTCTAAAAATATCTTATTACATGCTCGTTCGGCACATCCATCAGCCGCCAAAAATGCTGTAGTCCGAAATATGTTTAAAACGGCAACATAAGTATGTACGGGAAAGAAAGAGCAGAGAGAGTCGCGAAATGTTGCACTGAGCATCGCAAAGAAAAATGGCTATCCGATGCACCACGCTCGGGATAGACCATTCCCTTCACGAAATACTGCTTAACATAACAACAAAATAGCGCTCTGTCTTCCTTTCATTTCGGATGAAGTCAGTGTTGCAATACGGCACAGCATTAAACGAGCACAACTGAGCGACGATGTCATTTTAGTGAACATTCCGAGCGACAATCTCAAAAGACGACTTGTACGGAACAGGCTTTATGACAAATACTGCATCTCGAAAAAGTGCGTAGTTTGTCCACATAGCAGCATTGGTGATTGCGCGAAAACAGGGGTAATATATCAGATAGAATGTTTAGTTTGTGGTGCTAGCTATATAGGAGAAACCGGAAGACCACTTGGCGTAAGAGTTAAAGAACACCTTGCCAATAAACGAAGAGGTAGTCTAGTTTTGCCGCTCGGTAGACATAAACATGAATATCACCGCGATCAAGACTACGAGATCAAATGTACAATTTATGAAAACAATGTACCGCTTATGAAAACAGAAACGAGTGCTTAGCCGTTACGAATGACTTCATGCCATTTTTATTTTGGCTTACGAAAAAGATACGTCTGCGCGGAAAGCTCTCGAAGCTTCTGGATCACACGCAAAAAGCCGCTTATGAAAACAGAAACGAGTGCTTAGCCGTTACGAATGACTTCATGCCATTTTTATCACTGTGTGAGCTATGATAGAGTAGTGCGATGATTACATCTACAATGAGCCGCTTAATGTGACTCATTGGCACTACTGTCACCAAGGAAGCGGTCGCACTATATCATCAAGTGACCGGCGGTGGAGCAAAGGTGTGTTCGTCTTCTCCCATCTAGCGACTTTTGCATGTAAAACTTGAGAGGGGATCGAGAAGCTGACCGAGGGTTGACGAAGCACTTGGTGGGGCAGACATAAGATCACTAATCCCGCACCACTTTAGGCCTCCGAAGACGACGAGTAGTCGAAACGC